CGAGCTCAGATCGGCAAGAACCTGGAGGTATATGTGGATGACATTGTGGTAAAGAGCATGAAGGCAGAAAACCATCTAGCTGACCTCGACGAAACCTTTAACAACCTCAGAAAGAACCGAATGCGGTTAAACCCAGCCAAGTGCATCTTCGGAGTGGAATCTGGAAAGTTTCTAGGTTTCATGGTGTCCCGAAGAGGGATTGAGGTCAATCCAGAAAAGATCAGAGCAATTGCCGAGATGGAACCGCCAAAGTCAGTAAAAGATATACAGAGGTTGACTGGAAGGGTGGCAGCTCTGCATCGATTTATCTCCAGGTCAGCGGATAAGTGCTTGCCATTCTTCAAAATTATGAGGACGGCCGCCCAGAAGGATGAGTCAGGAAAACAGAAGAAATTCGAATGGACTCAAGAATGCCAAACTGCATTCGACGAGCTGAAGTCTTATCTTAGCTCACCACCTTTACTAACTAAGGCTATAGATGGAGAGATTCTTTACCTGTACCTGGGGATTTCAGATGAGGCCATTAGTTCAGTCCTGGTGAGAGAGGAAACCAAGCAGCAGAAACCAATCTATTATATCAAGCAGTGTTCTGCACGGAGCAGAGCTGAGATATCCTATAGCAGAGAAAGCAGCACTAGCAGTTGTCACTTCGGCCAGGAAGTTGAGGCCATATTTCCAATCACACCCAATCATCGTTCTCACAGATCAACCTCTCAGGCAGATTCTGCAGAAACCAGAGTGCTCTGGAAGGTTAATTAAGTGGGCAGTAGAACTGGGGGAGTTCGAGATCACGTTTCAGCAGAGGTCGACTATCCGAGCTCAAGCATTAGCAGATTTCATTGTTGAATGCACTCCATGTCCCTCAACCTCTACTCCATAACTCAACGGATGGACCTTATACGTTGACGGAGCCTCTAGTAGCAAGGGTTCAGGGGCTGGCGCTCTCTTGATCGGTCCAGAACAATACCGAAGTGAACATGCCCTGAAATTCAACTTTGATGCGACAAATAACATGGCTGAGTATGAAGCTCTGCTACTGGGTCTACAACTAGCATTAGAGTTGAAAATCAGTGCAATTCAAGTCTACAGTGACTCCCAGCTGGTGGTAAACCAAATCAACTCTATTTGCGAAGTCGTTGATCCTGTGATGGTAAAGTACGTAGCCTTGGTGGCTGAGCTGAAGTGCAAGTTCCAAAAATTCTGTTTGAGTAAAATCCCCCGAGCTGAGAATGAACAGGCAGATTTACTTTCTAAGTTTGCCTCTGATAGCTCTTTAAGCTCCAGATCTGTTTTTGTAGAGGTCCTAGATGAACCAAGCTTCATGAAGCCTCGTGTGATGGAGATTAGCACAGACCCTGACACGCCGAGCTGGACTGAATCGATTGTCTCCTTTTTATGAGATGGGGTCGTACCTGAGAACAGACAGGAGGCAATGAAATTGAGGAAGAAAGCATCTCGATATACACTCGTTGATGGGGTCCTGTATAAGAGATCTTTCTCACTCCCTCTTCTACGGTGTTTAAGCCCTTATGAATCTGAATATGCACTT